AAGCCACAAGTTCTCCTCCTTATCAGCTGAAGCCAGGGAAGAAGGTATATATTTAGTGTCACAACCTCTGGTAAGCCCCAATAATTATATATATGTATTTTGTTGTTATATTTGTCTTATCTTTTTCCCAGGAACTCAGGTGGGATGAAATAAGCAGGGCATAATGTAGTGGACATTTAATTCCCATAATGGTTTTTTTTATATTTCTCAATATACTCAATAGACCACTGTAATTCCATCAGTTAATGGGACAGATAAACAACTGCCACGTAACAGGAATAGAAGTTGGCTCATCAACGAATTCCTATCATTTATCATCTCCCGATTATGTTATATGCGTGTTTGTGTATGTATATATGTATATGTATCACTGATCTTCTTGCAATGTCCCCCCAAAAGTACAAATTTCAGATAGGAAATAAATAGAGGAGGATACACGTATCGTCTGCTTCTTAATAAAATTCTGCACATTTTAATCAGATGTCACTGTGTTCACACATACGATCGCTTTACCTTCATAAACATGCTGAATCCTGTTTTCAGAAGATCGGTCAGCCCAGAAGACATGTGTTCAATATCAACGGGGTCAGGTCGATCAGGGTTGTAAATTTCTTCCACCACTTGCTTCACCAATGGCTTATAAGATGCCTTGAAAGAAAATCACCCCTATTTGTTAAAATTAAATACACTGCATTTTTCAAAGTGAACGTAATAATGAGGGGTGGCAATCACTTACCTTCCCTACCGGTTTGCAAATGTGAGCGCGCATGCGCTCACCCTATCTACAGCGCATGCGCTTTGCCTAAAAAAGGATCCGTTTTTGCCCTCCCCTCCCCAGAAGCACTCTGTAGCACTCCGGACATCCAGTTTTCGTCCTCCCCGGCCCTCAGAAGCACTCTGCAAACCAAAAACAGCCCCGTGAAGGCACAGAGGGTTTGGGAGGCCAAAAACGGGCCTGTTTTTGGCCTGCAAACTGTTTCTGGAGGGGGCAGAGAGGGAGAAAACGGAACGTGAGGAGGCCAAAAACTATTTTTTGTCTTGTTTTTCTCTTCTAAATCTAGGTGCGTCTTATAGTCCGAAAAATATGGGAATACAAATGGCTGTCAGGTAAATAATTTCACTGATATTACAAAGAGATCTTCTTTCGTGATACTCTTCAATTACACTGCATTAATCATCACTGAAGCTGGATGGTATGAATTCCCCGAAAACCATTGTAGAATAGCGCTCTACCCCTGCTTAAAATAAATATCTGTTGTGATACAAGTGTACACATTATTAGAACGATGCAGGATTAAACTGCAAAATAATTAAAAGCTTTTAGTTAGTGGGGGGAAAACCCTACCATATTCAATTTTATGGACTTATGCAATTACTATGCTGTAAATCTAAAGTATTAAACAGTGAATAACAACAATTAAAGTAGGAAGCTTATAATTTACAAAAATTAGTGGCAGGCAACATTTCTTACTTTTGCTATTCCAAGAAAGCCCCTCTCTAGTTTTCTTAGAAAACTCCTGCTGAATCAAGTTGTGGAAATTATAAACAGAAGTGCCACTTATCTTGGAGGGTGGGGAAATGAAAAACAAATGAGAAACTAACCACTTAATCTGAAACAACTTGAAAGAAATAAAAATATTTTCAAAAGCAATTACAGCCATCAGCATTTATTTCTTCATCCAGCTTTTTGGAACATCAGTGTCCTTTATTTTCTTCTACCCAAGCGCAAAAGAAAATTAGATGCACTGGCCAAAACGTCCTGATCACACATTTTTACACTCATTCTCGGAGACACAGCTCTTTACTATACTGCTTGATGTTGTGAATTCAATAAGAAACATATTTATGCAATATGAGGCATTTGAATAAGTTACCAAAACATCCAATGTATGGAATTAAGAAGGATAACTATTTTTTCTGATGTAATGAAGAGCTGTTTGCAAGGCAAGTTATATTTCACAAATGGATCATATTAATAGCAATAGCAGTTAGACTTATATACCGCTTCTAAACGGTTTACAGAGTCAGCATATCGCCCCCACAGTCTGGGTCCTCATTTCACCCAACTCGGAAGGATGGAAGGCTGAGTCAACCTTGTGCCGGTGAGATTAGAACCGCTGAACTGCAGATAACAGTTAGCTGAAATGGCCTGCAGTACTGCACCCTAACCACTGCGCCACCTCGGCTCTTAAGAGTGATTTATCACCGAGGCTGCAACAGTTGGTTAACTATCCACTAAGGACGGTCACCTTTTCGTATACAGCTTGAGTATAAATTATACTAAGACTAACATAAGCCTAAGGTGCAGTGGTTATTAGAATGCAATATTGCAGGCTAACTCTGCCCATAGTCAGGAGTTCGATCGTGACCGGCTCAAGGTTGACTCAGCCTTCCATCCTTCCGGGGTTGGTAAAATGGGGACCCAGATTGTTGGGGGCAAGAGGCTGACTCTGTAAACCACTTTGAGAATGCTGTAAAGCACTATGAAGTGGTATATAAGTCTAACTGCTATGGCTATTATCTTTGGTCCAGCTTAATGCAACCTGAAGCTTCTGAATCTGAGATTTGCTACCCTATCAAGGTGACAGCATAAAAAGTTCTGTTTTTGTTGTAAGGCTGTGCGGTTACGGTTTTGTTCCTTTTTTCCCTCTGGCTTTATGCTGCAATTAATTTCGTTTTTCCTCTCCTCTAATAGATGGGAAGGCATAGGGTGCAAACACAAGTGATATCGGGAGAGGGTCAAGATCGATACACGCNTTCCTTCCTTCCTTCCTTCCTTCCTTCCTTCCTTCCTTCCTTCCTTCCCTCCCTCCCAGTGGTTAAAATGCAGTATTGCAGGCTGGCTCTGCCCTCTGTCAGGAGTTCTATCCTGACCGACTGGCTCAAGATTGACTCAGCCTTCCATCTTTCCGCGGTTGGTAAAATGTGGACCCAGATTGTTGGGGGGGCAATATGCTGACTCTGTAAACTGCTTAGAGAGGGCTGTAAAGCACTGTGAAGCAGTATATAAGTCTAAGTACTATTGCGATTGTTAAAATAAAATAAATAGCAATAGGACTTAGACATATACTGCTTCACAGTGCTTTACAGCCCTCTCTAAGCAGTTTACAGAGTCAGCATATTGCCCCCAACAATCTGGGTCCTCATTTTACCAACCTTAGAAGGATGGAAGGGTGAGTCAGCTTTGAGCCTGGTGAGATTCGATCTGCCAAACTGCTAGAAGCCGGTGATCAGCAGAAGTAGCCTGCAGTACTGCATTCTAACCACTGTGCCACCACAGCTCTTGGCACTGGGACATATATTCGTTTATGTGCTCTCTCTA